GATGACTACATCTATCCGAGAATTGCGCCGCGCTGGTTTGAAAATCGATTGTTTTGGTCTCCATGAAAACGAAAGCAGCACCCCGGGCGTAGAAATACCGTGTACACCACATAAGCCATTGTCTTGCCCACTAACAGTTCTTTGTAACGACATCCATGCCGCTATGAAAAAGCTTCAGTTTAGTGTCTACCGGGGAGATGTGTACAAGAAAGTTGCAGAATCACAATTTACTTTCAAGTTTCTTTGCTCCATGAAGTCATTTCTGTTAAATCTTATGGGGAACGGGTGCTTCAAAGACAGGCTTGTCCAACATTTTCAACGAGTTCTACCACTTCTGAGTGAGCCAGAAAGTTCCCTGATTGGCCAACTTAAAATAGATCGAAACTTGGTTGAAGTGCAGAATGGCTGGTTTTGGTCTTTCTCTGAAGGAGCTTTTGTACAAGGAGTGATCCCAGAATCAGAGGTGAGAGCATACGTTTTCATCAGTAAAGGTTGTTTTAATTCCGTTATCACAATTTTCTTGGCTACAATTTATCTGCTGGCTAAAATGACAAGGTATCTGTTCAATAGAAAAGTCGTTTTTCTATTACTATACAACATATTTAACCTTGGAATATGTCAAATCAAGTGCTATTCAGTTTCGAGTTACCTAATCTAGGACTACTCCTAGTTTGTTGGCGGGTAAAGGTTTCTACTTCTTATTTTACCTATTTATTACATGTCTGTATGTTTTAACAGTTTTTTTTCTCTTTTCTACAGCGAGGTATCACATCACTAATAGCGTATGTCCACTATGACAGCCTCCAAGAGCCCGATCCTAAATACTTCGAGCAAATTCTAACCAATAGCCTACCCGAAGGGCAAATACAACAGTTTTGCGCTGATTTTCTCGCGCTATTCAGAGATAAAGAACATAAGCGACCTGTGCCATGTGCCATCGGAGCTTCTGACAGCGGCAAAACGAGCCTGTTCAGCCCAGTGTTTCAAATTGTGCCGTTAAGCCGAATCGCTCGCGTGACCAAACAGAAGAGCTTTAACAAGTCGATGATTGACAGCTCCACGGAAGTTATCTTTCTCGACGAGGCATACAACAACCTGCTCGACATAGATGACTGGAAGATAATTTGTCAAGGCGGTTTTACATCCCACGATGTGAAATGGAAGAAGGCCCAGGGGTTCCACTGCCGTGCAAGTATGTACATTACATGTCAACAGGAGATGGACTTTGGCGAGGCCCACAATGACGCGATGAACCGAAGACTTCACAAGTACTTCTTCAGAAGCTTGCCGCAAGTTAACCCGGAGGCCAACCAGTGGCTGCGAGAACATGCAATGGACCCAAAAGATGGTTGCTACAAACTCCACTACCGCACAGACTGGAAGGACTTTAGGAGAGCGTGAGGACGGTTTAGAAAGTGAAGACATTCAGAGAATTTTGTCCGTTTCCCTACTGGACGAGCACGCCCCCGAGTGCAACACGGAAGGCGGTGAAAGCTCACTCACGGATGAAGAGGAGAGTGAAGCCGAAAGCGACAGCTCCGATGAAAATGAAGATAACAACCACATAGACAAGCTTCGCCATGAGCTCGAAAAGGCGGTGCCGGGTGGGTTTCGGCACAGACAGCTGAGCATGCTCCTGCGAAACGCTCAAACACAGCACAAAGCCATCCAAGATCGTCAAATCGCCGGACGTCGACGATATCTAGTAAATTTGGGAGTGACCAGCAAATCGCAGGCAGATCGACTGATTACGCATCCCGACGAGCCACTACCAACCGACCTCGCTCGCAGAGAACATTTGGCCTTGAATGATAGGGCAGAACGTCTCGAAAAGCAAAGGGAAAGAGATGAGCAAGAGAAAGTAAAAAAAGCATTCTCTAATCCGTGGCTGTTAGAAATAGAAAAAGAGATGGCCGAGAACAATATGCGTTTAGAGAGAGGCACAGACCCCGACATGAGTGCAACACTGACGAGTCTTTTAGAGATTGATTGTGAGAAACTCCGCGCATTTCACGAAAAACAAGGTACCATTCGCCTGCAGATGGCCGTGGAAAAAAGGAAAGAAATCTATGTGAAACGTGGATTAGTGGATCCTAGGTACGCGAGTTCCATTAGAGATGTGTACTCACCCTTACCGGTTATCGTCGAAGGTAGCAACCAAAACATGTCCAGACCAACGGCTTCAAACGACCATGGTAATACGCGAAAGACACCATCTTACGACCCGCCTGAGGACACGCACCAGACGATGTTTACTCCACCTACGAGCCAGGAGGCCGTCGAATCGGAGAGCGAGGACATGTTCATTACACCGAAGACACCTTGTTACGAGCCCTCATTTGATGAAAGCATTTGCACAGGCTCTTCACCATTACTGAGGCGAGTACCCTCACCTGACAACAGACCTTCGAAGCGAGCAAGCCTCTCGAGAAGCCAAACAACCGAGGGACAGAAGCGGGTGACTACCTTTTTCAGTTCGCAGAAACGTGTAAAAAAGTAGGATCAACTTAGGTGCCCGTACATGCAATTTAAGATATACTAAGTTAAACTAACTTGAAGGCCTTTACGCCACAGAACATTTGTATTATTAATGCGTTGTTGTCAGTTTCAAATAATACGTTATTTTTGCATGTTGTCTACGAAGCCCCATGATGGTATGGTCATGCCGAGGAATTCAGTCATTAAATAAATCATGTTGACGTTATGGATTTAGCTTACATTATCTCTTCCTTCTATAGCTGTTTCTCGCATTTTATATAGGGCTAAAGTTTGCAATAATTCATTTATTTGAGTTCAAGAATTTAAGATAGCTACATGCCCTTGAGTTCGTTCGTTAAGTAGGACCTTGTCAGCGCTGCGTCGATTTTGAATATGATCCAAATCTTCGAGCGGCTCGGCTCAGAAGAGAGTTGGCCGTTCTTCCCTTTTGGAACTGAAAGTCGGGGTCTGTTAGAATCGCTTTCCATTGCCCAAATCCGTGCCGTTTAAGTCCACCTTTGAGAAATTTGTCTTCCTCGGGGGTGAACATTAAACTCTTCCGTCGCGTGCTTGTTTCGGTCACTCTGAACGCATTTTCGCGCCTCAATTTTGGCACTCCTACTAAAGGCTCGCGTGTTGTATCTGTGATTACGTCTTCTTCGTCATTAGAAGACGTATCGGTTCTGCCAACATCTTGTTCTTGTGAAGAACTTGAATTCTCAGACAGCCTAGAGCGTACGTCCATCTCTAGCTCTGATCCCCTCTCGCCCTGTAGTCTTTCCAAAAATGCATGTGCTTTGCTGGCGACTTCGCGAGATCGCCGTTTTTGATAGTGAACTCTTGCCACAACAGAGCTGTGTTTCTGGTCCTCGGAGATCGCATCTTGCGCGCTACTGCTAAGAGTTCTAGAGCTTGCCGTCTCCACTATTTGGCGGTAACGAGTTGGGTGAACATACTTGCCTGTTGCATCGAACACCAAGTTACTCATTGCTTCTCCTAGCTTGTTATGTTGTCGACCATTTCTCGTGACTAAGACATACTCACAGTTAGGCTTGAGAAGTGGGCGAATGTGGTTGATGTAACCTTCTAGGAATTGCATACTGGTGTCTGTCAGAAAAAGAGAATCAAAACCATACTTTCCAGCTGTCTTGAATTGTTTTTGGTCTATGAATCCGCCGTTAGTCTTAGCTTTGTCGACCATTTCTACGGTTAGATATTGGTATGTCATCGGGCGTGAGCCTTTAACCTTGATAAACAAATAGACGGCCAGAAATTTGGTAGCAAACGATAATTCCAGTGGGGAAATAGTATCTGGTTTAACCCTGCATGTTTTAAGCACGCTCTTGTAGCGCGGCAAGTAACGCCCCACCACCTCTAAAAGCTCCTCCATGGTGGCCCAGCGTCAATATCGAGTTCGCTGGTCCATTGCAACCTCATCATCTTTGAGACGGTTTTTCGTGCCCTTTTTAAGTACATTTCTGCTGTGGACAGGCCTCTCCATACTGTTTCTGATGCGCCGTTTGCTTTTCTGGAATCCGCTAATCCTGCAATGGCGTCCAAGTAACCTATCCGTCCCGCCTGTCCGAGTTTCCATTCATCCTGCATCGTATCAACAAATTTAAATAGGAGATTCGGTGAACATAGGCTAAAATCAACAATGCCAAATGTGAGTTCATCTTCGTCTTCGCAACAGAATTTGAGAAACTTTAAACACCTGCTGACAATTTTCTGTGCTTGTCGATCGCTTTTACAACCCCCGCCGCTGCCAGTTAGCCATGAGAAAAAACTCTTAGCAATGTTGTTTTTCAAGTCGAATGAGGCAATTGCTCACGTTGTACGTGGAATCGTCCGATCGTTGGCTTCAATTTTCTCGGACTGATTGTGAAACGATTCCATTTGAGCACTGTTTGGCTTCTCGTCTAAGTAATAGGACCAACCGTGTTTGTTCTTTACGTGTTTTCTACAGCCCCTTTGCGTAGTGAATCCATCGTGGTTACAAATTTGCACTGGGCAGTGAAAAAGACCATCACAGTCATCCTCTTCTAAGTGAAGTCTCTTCGGTTTAGGCGATGCATTTGCTAACTTTGACCAGTTGACATCCTTGCCTCGTTTGTTCATCTTAAGCATTAGCTTGAAATCGATATCTTTCTTAAGTATGCATGCACTTATACTAGGAAAATGGTCCCCAAAAGATCATCCTATTCGCCAATGAGATAGTTGTTAGCCTATCTCTGCCCACACTTGGTCATTCTTGCCCTTGCCTCATTGTTTTCTTGTCCGTATTTGGTACACAATTAATCAAAAGGAACAAAGACACAAGCCTGAACTTGCGCGGGCAAGCCCAAACGAGATTAAGCATGCAGCGGGCAAGTCTCGTACGTAACTTGATTGTTGATGGATACATGTTTTGATAAATTTGTATAGCGGAGGTCAGTGGACAGTAATTTCAGATAGCCTACGATAAATAGGAACTATCGTTCCCAATTCCTTTTTACACTTTGCGCAAAATGGAACACTAGTTCCTTTGTCACAAATTCGGAACCTGTTCCCATTTTTAAGCGGAACATAACACTCATCTTGAGGAACAAAAAACCACCTCGATTAGGAACAATTCCGTTCCTGTTGGGCATGAATAGGAATAATTTGAACCAGTGGATATGCCAGTAAATAGGAACAATTTGTTCCTTACTGTGTAGAGCAAGAAATTAGATTGGGAACATTTGTTCCCCAATCACTTCGAAAGGAACATGAAGGGAAATCGGAACTGTTGAAAGAGGACCTTTTTGTTCCTGAAAGGATAAAAGTGGAACCAGTTGTTCCTTTTGACTAAAACGAAAAGGAACTTTGTGTTCCAATTTGCTGCTAACGGACCAGATTGTTCCGAAATTTGCCGACCTTTGTTCCTATTGTGCAAATAAAGTTCCTTTATTGTGCGTTCCTAGGTTGTTCCTAAAGCAATTAAAGGAACAAAAAGCAAAAACGCGCGGAACACTACGTTTTTGAAAAAGAGATGTTTCCTCGTGTCGCGTCGCTTAAAATCAAACTTTGAAAGTTTCCTCATGTAAAAAACGGCCTGACAATACTAAGGACAAAAATACAATTGAAAACTACGGTGTTTTAACCTGAAATGTTGCTATCATTACTTTTGGGGAATGTATATGACGATGATCACTATAGTAATGATAACTGGCTTATCTACACCTAATTGCAATAAGGTTGTCATAGAAAAAAGCAAAAAAGCCAAATAGGAATTAATTAGCATTAAATTATCATTGCTTGCAACATTCACAACACACACGCCTATAGCTGAATATTAATCACGTAATCTGAAAGCCAAATCATTTGCATCAGTTTCTTGGTGTCATTCTAATACAATTCGAGGCTGATTCATCTAGCGGATTTCAAACGTGCTCTAATTACAAACGTACATCGGATAACTACTAAAGAAAAAATGGCTCCATTTTTTTTCAATAAATATAGCCTGGGGTAAATTCCAGGAACGCGACGCGTCTTTTCGTTTAATGCTAAATAGAAAAGCCAGTCTGCGTATGGTTTGTAGTGCTCAACACCATCAGATCACAATTTTCAAGCAACAAATCAGGGGTGTAGGCAGCGCGGAATTACAGAATTATTTCTTGTTATTGTGAATGACTTCTTAAATAATTGTTAAATTATTAAAATACGCAAATGTAAATCACATGGCTAATAATTCCTATTTGGCTTTCTGATTTTTGCTTTTTGCTTTTTTCTATGACAACGTTATTGCAATTAGGTGTAGATCTTAATTTATCGGAAGTACTTACCTCCTAGTTAGGACGGCTCCTGCTTTGTACTTGAAAATATGTTCACACGCTTTAGCGCTTAATACTTGCACTCTGCTGATGATTTCTGAAAAAAAGGGGTGCGAGACTTGCAATTTACTTTTTACCAAAAAGTTGAGTGACGCGTGGCATATCAAAGTTTTTGAATGAAAAGAGACTTGACGCCTGTCAATTTATCACTGCTAGGAAGCTTTAAAAAGCTCCAGGCAAACAAAAAATGTCGCCCAACATTAGTGTTGGAATGGAATATCACTTTCAACTAAAACTGTTTCTAGTCTTTGAATTAGATCAAACATATTCATCCAACAGTTTTAATCTTTAGAAATACTTCTCCGTTTAGCTGGCTTCTAATAACAAAGCAAGCCTCCAAAGGAGGAAAAAATTAGTTCAATCAAAAACAGCTTGTATCATGCACGTTATAATTTCAGTAGGAAGCATTTGCTCTAAGGCTAGTTAATGACACCGTTTGCCCATGTCGCCCCATGCCCCATGTTGTGTGTCACAATTATGATGTTGTAAAAGAAATGCTTGTTCGTTTAGCGGGGCTCTATAGACTTATAATAACAGTTGGATTTGAATAAGGCTTTTGTAAGTTACATGCACTAATGCTGACATTATGGAATGATCGTGATTGCATAGTCAAGTCATTTGTTTTATTTCGTTAAAAGCTGATGAAGCCTTCCATGAGTTCACAGGGCTTAAGGTGACGTGACAAGGAATAAAAAGATTGGGTGATGGTGCATGACAAGAATAAATAAATAATAATAATAAAAACGGGAATGCATCCTAGTGATAGTGAGCGCTCAAAACTTTTGTCCTTATTTACAATGATACAGAAAGGTACAATTTCAGCATTTCTTGGGATATCGTAGATGGAAAGACTGGCTTTTCGTGGTGGGTGGTAAGAGGTCGTTACCATACTGATCAGAATTCACAGGCGTGGTCCAAAGTCTTGCTGGTCCATAATGCCATTGAGCATCATTGTAAGGAATACTTCCAGTCCATGATGACCCTCTGTCAGTCCACGTACCGATCATATTTTTCCAGGCTCCTATCAAAGAGAGATATGCAGGATTTTATTTAAAAAAAATATGCCACATCTATACACGTAGGCGAATCTTTATTTACACTTTTTGCCTCATTAACATATGCTTATCACTATCTGATGATGATGATTCCCTTCAATAAAACTATATAACTT